AGCAAACTTGTTGAAAATCTGTTGACAATAAATGTATGGGTTTATATTGAGACTCTGAATTCAGTTCCTTTGGTCATTCTGTCTGTCCTTATGCCAGTACCACACTGTGGTACTGATTGATTACGGCAGTTTTGTTTTTTGTTTGTGTGAGTGTAGGGGGGTGTTTAAGATTTTATTTATTCAAGAGAGAGCACAAGTAGGGGGAGCAGCAGAGCAGAGGGAGAAGCAGGCTTCCCGGTGAGCAGGGAGCCTGATGTGTGGCTCTAACACAGGACCCTGAGATGATGACCTGAGCTGAAGGCAGTCGCTTAACAGACTGAGCCACCCAGGTGCCCTGTTTCCTGCAGCTTTGTTGTGAATTGTAAATTGTGAGACTGGGAAGAACTAAGTAAGTCTTTTCTCAAGATTGTTTTGGATAATCTAGGTCCCTTACATTTTCATATAAATTTTAGGATCACATTGTCAATTTCTGCAAAAAAGGAAGCTGGGATTTTGATAGGGATTATATTTAATCTGTAGATCAATTTGGGGACTATTGACATTTTACCTATATTTAAGTATTTTATTGTTTTTAATTGAATTGTAAATGGAATTTTTCCCTTTTTCGATTATTCATTGCTGGTACATTTAAAACAGAATGTTTTTGTGTGTTGATCTTGTATTTTGCAACTTTGCTAAATTTGTTACCTTTAATAGTTTTGCGGAATCTTCAGAATTTTCTTTAGAAATAGGGTCATTTCATCTGAGAATAGAGGTAGTTTTACCTCTTTCTTTCCAATTTGGGTAGCTTCCACCACCCCCTTGGCTAATTGCTCTGGCTAGAACTTCCAGTACAGCTTTGAAAAGAAATGGAGAAAGGGGGCATCCTTGTCTTGTTCCTGATCTTAGGGAGAGAGCTTTTAGTCTTTTGTCATTGAGTATGTTAGCTCTGGGGTTTTGATAAGTGCCCTCTATCGGGTTGAGGAAGTTTCATTCTGTTCTAGTTTGCTGTGTGTTCTTACCATGAAAGTCTGCTAAATTTTGTTAAATGCTTTTTCTGCATCATTTGGGATGATTGTGTGGGGTTTTTCCCTTCATTCTATTAGTGTGGTATATTATAACAATTGATTTTTGTATATTGAACCACCCTCATAATCCTAGGATACATCCCGTTTGATCTTAGTGTTAAAATGCTGCATAATCTTAATATGCTGCTGACTTTGGTTTTCAAGGGAAATTGTTCAGTAGTTTTCTTGTGGTGTCTTTGTCTTTGGCATCAGAGTAATGATGGCCTTACAGAATGAATCGAGAAGTGTTCCCTCTTTTATTTTTTTGGAAGAATTTGAGAAGGGTTAGTGTTAATTCTTTAAATGATAAGTAGAATTCACCAGTGAAACCATCTGCTCCTGGGCTTTTTTTTCCTATTGGGAGGTATTTGATTTTGGAAGTCGTCATTGTATTTATTTTTTTGTTTGTTTCAAATTATTTAAATTCTAGTTAACATAATAGTGTAATGTTGGTTCAGATGTAGAATTCATTGATTCATCACTTACATACAACGCTCAGTGCTCATTACATCATGTGCCCTCCTTACTTAAAACCCATCACCCATTTGGCCCAACCCCATCCACCTCCTTCCATCCACCCTCAGTTTGTTCTCTGTAGTTGAGTCTCTTACGGTTTGCTTCCCTCTTTTTTTTTTTTTTTTTTTTACCCCTTTCCCATATGTTCATCTGTTTTGTTTCTTAAATTCCACATATGAGTGAAATCGTATGGTATTTGTCCTTCTTGGCTAACTTATTTTGCTTAGCATAATATTCTCTAGCTCCATCCATTTCATTGCAAAATGGCAAGATTTCATTCTTTTTGATAGCTGAGTAATACTCCATTGTGTGTGTGTGTGTGTGTGTGTGTGTGTGTGTGTGTGTTTATCTTCTTTATCCATTCATCAGTGAGTGGACATTTAGGCTCTTTCCATAGTTTGGCTATGGTTGATAATGTTCTTTGGGAGGTTTTTGATTACTGATTCTTTGTCTTCACTTGTGTGTTCAGGTTTCTGTTTCCTCTTGAGTTTTCAGATGTGTCTAGGTGTTTATTACATGTAGGTTATCTAATTTGTTCACATACAATTGTTAATTGTGTTCTCAATCCTTTTTATTTATGTAAGATCAGTAATAATGTATTCACTTTAATTTCTAATTTTAGTAATTTGAGTCTTTTTTTTTTTTTTAGTTTAGCTGAAGGTTTTAATTCCTTCCTTCTGCTAGCTTTGGCTTCCTTTTTCCCTTTTTTTCTTTAAGGTGTAGATTATTGACATGTAGGGTTTTTTTTCTATTTTAAGGTAAGCATTTATAGCTATAAATTTATCCCCAAGCACTGCTTTTGCTGCAACTTTGTAAGTTATGCTATCTGTGTTTTCCTTTTCACTCATCTTCAAGTGTTTTCTAATTTCCTTTGTGATTTCTGTAACCTATTTGTTTGAAGAGTGTATTTAATTTCCACATATTTGTGAATTTTCTAGTTTTCTTTCTGATACTCATATCTAGTTTCATTCCATTGTGATTAGAGAACATTCTTTATATGATCTGTCTTTTTAAATTTCTTGAGACTTGTTTTGTGGCCTAGCATATGGTCTTCCCTGGAGAATCTTCTGTGTGCACTTGAGAAGACTGTATTCTGATTTTGTGTGAAGTATTTTTTATATATCTGTTAGGTCTGATTTTTTCATAGGATTGCTCAAGTCCTCTATTTCCTAACTGGACTTCTGACTAGTTACTCTATCCATTACTGAAAGTAAGGTATTGAAGTCTCTCTCTTATTTTAGTACTGGCTGTTTCTCCTTTTAATTCTGTCATTTTTTTTGCTTCATATATTAGGTGTGTATATGTTTATAATCTTTATATCTTCTCGATTGACCCTTTTATCAATATACAGTGTCCTTTTTTGTCTCATAACAGTTTTTGAGAATGAATGAGTGGGAAGGAAAACTGAAAGGAAATGCATATCTGATTTAATAATTATGTCAGGTTATTAGGAGTTCCCACTGCTGTTCTGTGCATTTCAAACTAGTTTTATTTCATTACTTAAATGTATTTTCATAAAACTTTCAAAGAGTATAGTTAAAGTTGAAGTAGCCCCCCCATTCACCCCCTTGTTCCACAGTGGAGGAAACTATATTTTTCAGATCTTAAAAAAAAATGTTATATATAGTTTTGTGTCTTACTTTTTGCTTAATTTCTATTAAATTAAATTTCTTAATTTAACAATATTTTTGCCAACAATTCCATGGCATTCTTTACAGATACCTCTATATAATATTCCATCTCAGTAATATGCCATGGTTTATTTGAACATTTTCTTGTTGAGTGAGAGATAGGTCGTTTCCGTTCTTTAGCTGTTATAAACATGAACCCCCATGTGCCAGTTTATTTTCCTAGGGTAGATACTGAGGAATTACTGGGCATATTTTTGGACCTTCTCTGGAAGTGACCAGTATTTATCAATTTCTTGTATATCGTTCCAGAAATATTATTATCCTATAAAAGATACATGTCTTACATGTATAGCATATTTATTTCTATGTCTACATATAAAACAAATGTATACCTATGTAATATTTGGATATTATATGGATATGGGTTTTTTTCCATAATAAAGTGGCATGGAGTTATTTGCATGCAGTTGCCTACTGACTAGATGTATCATCATTCACGTAACCAGGCCTCTCCTGATGTTTAGTTTTCTGCTCTTTCACTACTAAAAACAGTGCTATAATGACTACCTCTATACATAAGTCATTTCATAAGTGTGATTGTAATTGTAGGATAAATTCCTAGTAGTTGAAATTAATGTGAAAAGATACACATTTATAATTCTGATAGATACTGCCAAATTGTCCTTCATAGAGGTTTTGCCAGTGCCCGTGCTGTCATCTGTGTTACTGTCTCTTTCCCCCAGCATTCCCAATACACACTTGTCAAACATTTGGATCATTGCCAGTATGACAGGGGAACAGTGGTGTCACACTAGTCCTTTTCATTTGAGTTTCTCCCATTATGAGAGGATTGACCTTTTGTTTGTGTGAAAGCCATGTGTTTTTACTGAACTGCTCTTTTTCTGTTGGGCTGTTAGACTTCGCTTATAGTGGAATTTGCCATGCTGAAAATTGTTTTTATGTTTATATAGTGACAGGTCTCTGTATTAAGACCTAAAATTTTGTGTTATTCTTAGAAAGGCCTTTTCCATCCTGAGATTATTAAAAGAATTGTCCATAATCAAAATACTTTTAATATGCTAATGTATATATATATACATATATATGTAATAAGTTATTCTAGGGATGAAAGTTATATTAAGCTTTTTATTATTTATTTATTGCTCAGGAGTGAATGGCCCTACCTCACTTCATTTGCCCTTCAAAGCATGAAGAAAATACAGGATAACAGGGACAGATTGTGTACCTTTGCACAGCATCTCATAGGATGATTGAAGCAGAGCTTGTCATGATTGCCCTATAGACCAATTCAGATTCATGGTGTGGTTCTAAGAACTATTGAATAGAGTCAAAGGGAGGCATTTTTAGTATGGGATCCCTCTTTCACAATTTCAGCGTTGTTCGATTGTTAAAACATCTGGACCTGTGATTCTTTCTTGTGCTTCTATAAGAAGTTCTGGCCATCTTTCTGGGACCACTCCCAGTTTCTTTTGTCTCGGATGTAAAGGTTAGAATCCCATGAATTGAATTTGGTATATTTTGTATACTTCTTAGCAGTGCATTTTTTAGTAAATAAGACGGTATAAAACTACTGCTTGACAACGTGGAAGTTTTTAGAGTGATGACAGTAAGGGTAAGTTTTCTCTCATCTTATTTCTGTTACCTCAGTATAAAAATCTGAGGGGCTTTGAAAAGCCTGAACAAAAAATTAATTTACCTTCTTTTTCATTAACTTTTTCTTTACAGTAGTCGGTATACTGGGACGGTTATTGGTTAACCATAAACAATGGTATATGTTTTCATCTAGATCCTAAGGAAGAGAAAGAGGAAGAAGATGATTCTACCCTCCCTCAGCAAGTTTCCATTGCTGCAACTAGGTCTAGCCGGGGCTGGCGCAGCAGTACCAGGACGTCTGTTTCTAGGCATCATGACACAGAGAACACCCGAAGTTCTAGGTCGAAGACTGGTTCCTTGCAGCTCATCTGCAAGTCAGAACCAAATACAGATCAGCTTGATTATGGTACAGTACAAGTGGAGTATGGTTATTTAATAACCAGTTGCCTGCTGATTTTAAATGTAATGTTGAACAGCTTACCCTTCAGGGGTAGGTGTGGTGATACAGGCTTCCTTTATAAAGATAAGGTTTTGTTATGCTTTCTTTATCCAGACGGGGCAGAAGAACATCAGTCTCCAGGTGGCATTAGGTAAGAAACTTCGTATTTCGTATTTACACCTTTGGGGACATAGAGTACACACAAAAGTTGTTTTCTGCTTGAAAGAACGTTGAGCCTTTAAAAAAAAATTAACTTTGGTTTTAGTATTTAGTTTAGATGTCACTTTGTTCTTGATTAGAGCTTTAACCACGTAATCTTTAGTTACCTTAGTTCCGAAAGCAGGTCTTTTTTTTTTTAAGATTTTATTTATTTGACAGAGAGAGAGAGAGAGCGAGAGCAGGAACACAAGCAGGGGGAGTGGGAGAGGGAGAAGGAGGCCTCCCGCCAAGCAGGGAGCCCAATGCGGGGTTCGATCCTAGGACCCTGGGATCATGACCTGAGCCGAAGGCAGATGCTTAACGACTGAGCCACCCAGGCACCCCCAGAAAGCAGGTCTTGAGTACTTTCTGTATTGGCTTATTCCATGCTAGCCACTGATGGGAAGTGTGGATGTTTTGACTAGGATTTTTGAAATTTGTATTCCATGGTAAATCATGTGAACTTCTTTTTCTTTTTTTTTTTTTTTGCTTTGTTGATCTTTTTGGTAAACCAGATCATTGGATTACTAGACACAGGATTATAAAGTCTGTTGTTTTTGTTTGTGTTTTAAGAGAGGGAGAAGGGGGGCTTAGGGATAGAGGGAGGTGGAGAGAGAATCTTGACGTGGGACTCCATCTCACGACTCAGATCATGACCTGAGCTGAAATCAAGAGACACTTAACCAACTGAACCACTCAGGCACCGCATAAAGTCCGTTGTTTTTTGTTTTGTTTTGTTTTTTAGCTCTTAGTGCCATTGGGCAGTCATCATCTTACCTTTATTTAATCAAGTAATAGCATTCCCAGGATTTATGTATTTTTAGTTACAGTTATCATTGTGAGGATAAAACAGCTAGATTGCAGTCCAATTAGACCATAAGGATGAAAATTCTAGATAACTTACTATGTGAATCTTTGGCAACCTCTAAATAAATTAGCAAATAAAATCCAGTCAGATAAAATCCTTACAACTAGAATTTCTAATCCAGAAATTTGCTTCTTTTTAGTAGTGATGAGGAGGAGGAAGAGGAAGAAGAGATGTTAATCAGTGAAGAGGAAATACCATTCAAAGATGACCCAAGAGACGAGACCTACAAACCCCACTTAGAGAGGCATGTCTCGGATTTTACTATAGACATGTCGATGAAAAATAAGTTAGGAAAGCACTGTTGCATGCTTTTATTTCACCTTGTTGCTGAACTGATGGGTATAGACTTAATTTTAAATGAGTAATTAATCATGCACTTGTTTTGCCAATTTAACATTATCCTATAACTCCTTCACACAGCCTTCTCTTCTAGTTATATAACTTTATTTTGATCATATCCAAATTACTGGATGTCTGCATGTTTTACCTTGATGGTACAAAGTATCATCAATTGCCTGAATATTTAGAATTTTTTACTTTTGTCTTTCTCTTTACAACTGTAGTGCATTCTGATTCCCAGGTATTGTTAGCCTAACGGCTTTTACTGTGCATGTGAGGAACAATTGACTGGAAATCACATTTCATGAGCTAAGGATCATAATTTTACAATAAATCAATGATAACCGCAGGTTTTACCTTTTTGTCACAGTTCCCTTTGCAAAGATCCTTTGCTGGATACCAGTGTTGAAATGTGTTTGTGTTTTCAGGGAAACCCCAAAACCACGGAGAAAATCAGGGAAGGTGAAAGAAGAGAAGGAGAAGAAAGAAATTAAAGTGGAAGTAGAGGTAGAGGTGAAAGAAGAAGAGAATGAAATTAGGGAGGATGAGGAACCTCCTAGGAAGTGAGTAGGCAATTACTACTAAAAATGGAACCCTAACAGATTTTGAAGCCACTGGTGGGAAAAAGAGTGGGAGTGTGAGGGGGGCTATTGACAGGTGCATATTGCTGCCTCAAGCAGCTGACAATTTCATTGCAGAGGCTCTCTGAAAAGTTTAAATTTAATCCAAAGCAATACTTAAAGATGTCTAAATGAGTGGGCAAGACAGCAGCTAATGGGATGCAGAGGGAGTAGAGATAGCAAGAAAAAGTATGGCAAATGTGAATCCTCAAAAGAAGGGCAAATGAGGGCAAGTGATTGAAGAGTCTTGACTTTCTGTCCAGCAACCATTACTTGTTGTAGAAATAAGATTTGTTTTAAGTGTTTAGTCTTTTTCGTTCTATTAAAAGGAGAGTATAGTTTATATTCTTAGGGTTTTTAGATAATAGATTATTTTATTCTACTTTTTAAATTGATTAAATTTAAGTGATAGACTTTTTACTGGAACGACTCTTCAAGTAGTAACTTTGAGGTTTATCCAAATCTTCCATAGTAATGTATAGTTTGTGATAGGTATGTATTTAACTTGTAGTGCAGATTTATTTAAGTGAAATTACTTCAGAATGACATCTTTGTTCGGCTTGTCAGATACGTTTTTGACTCTGTATTCTGCGTTATCCTTTGTTTCCACCCCGTGCTCTTTGGTCTTGAGTATATGTCTTCAGCCATCCTTCACTCTGTAAGCTTCAATCTGGAATATGTGGACAGTTACTCTGTTCTTTAATTATAGGAGAGGAAGAAGGCGAAAAGATGACAAAAGTCCACGATTACCCAAAAGGAGGTAATTTATACTCTTAATATGTTCCTTATTCCTGGTGGTAAGCACTTCACTCACGTAATTACTCATAATTACCCTGCAGGAATGGCTATGTAAAAATATCTTAAATGCAACTTTATTAATGTCCTTGATGCAGAGTTCCTGTGTTTTTATTTCCATTGTAGGGTCTTTAAGTTTCTAAAAATCTTAACACTTCTTTTGGGAGGTCACTAGTTTATTTTGTGCTGTTTTTTAAAACTCTTACCAAACATTTGATAGTTTCTGGTTATTTCTAACATAAATTCTATGCAAGCTATATACTAGTAAAGAGATTTTAATTCTTCATGCTATAAAATTGCTGTTCCCTATAGTGCACTCAGTTAAGCCACTGTGCAGCGTGCCTCTTCTGTTTGCTAACTTTTCTCCTACATATTGATAATAGAAAAAAGCCTCCAATCCAGTATGTCCGTTGTGAGATGGAAGGATGTGGAACGGTTCTTGCTCACCCTCGCTATTTGCAGGTTAGTAAATTGTTATGTAAGGCAGCCTTTCAGGTTATGTTCCATTACTGATTTTTCTATTTCATGAGATGCTATAATTCGTGAACTTGTGTAGGCTTTATCATTGACATACAGTGTCAAAAAAAATCTTTCTTTAAAAAGGCATAAAATTACTTAAGTCATTGTGTTAAAAATATCTAACAACGTGAGGTTATTTAAAGGATTTCCTTGGAATCTTCGAATAGTCCAGTGTTTCCCATTGTGGTATAAATACTTCTGATACAAGAGATGATTGTACCAACAAACCAAAGACACAGATGAACAGACTTTATTTTAATGTGTATTTTTAAAAAATAAAATTAGCAACTCTAACCCGCAATTTCTTGAATAATGTTTCAAGTAAATAAATTAATTTTTAGGGTTTTTGTCTTTAGTAGATTTTTTTTTAAATGAATTAAAGACACAGCTTATATTTAGGTCTGGCAGAAAACATGAAAGTGAAATGTTTATCACTAAAGCTTAAGAAATGCCTGTTTGATTTTTAGTTTAGCAGCAAGGATAACATGAGACTAAGGCCCTACTCTCTGATTCTGTCTCTGTGCTAATAGTGATTGCTTCTGTTCTTCCACTGTATGCCGTGTGCTGCGCTAAGCACCATACAACACGTGATCTCTGTATCCTCGCAGTAATGCTGTGAGACACTTACAGTTGTCTTCATTTTACAAATGAGAACTGTAGCTCACAGTATTTAAGCACATTCCTGAGGTCACACTGCTCGTGAATGATAGACCCAGATTGGAATCCAGGTCTGTCTATTTCCATAGCCTGTGTTCTTAACTGTTTTATTATACTGCACCTCCCTTCCATATTCAGAGTATTTGGTTTCCCTTTAGCACTTTTTTAAGGGGGTGGGGGTGGGGGCAGAGGGAGAGAGAGAATCTCAAGCAGACTCTACCCAGCACAGAGCCTGATGTGGGGCTCCATCTCAGGACTCTGAGATCATGATCTGAGCCAAAATCAAGATTTGGATGCTTAACTGAGCCACCCAGGCGCCCCTCTCTAAAACTTTTGACTTAGCAAAGGAACAAGCTTTCAGGAAGTCTTCATTTTTATCCCTCTTTATTTTCTCTTACTGTTTTAGCACCACATTAAGTATCAGCATTTGCTGAAGAAGAAATACGTATGTCCTCATCCCTCCTGTGGGCGACTCTTCAGGCTCCAGAAGCAACTTCTACGACATGCCAAACATCATACAGGTACTTTTTGAAATAAAATGTTTTACCAAGTGTTAAATGCATTCTACTTTTAAATGTGTAGATTGGTAATGATATTTTTTTCTAATGTAAATCTTAAGAGTCTACAGTCAAGTGTGAGAGAAAGGTATGAAAATAAAATGTAATAAAACAAATTTTACAAGGGATGAACAAATGAGGGCTTTTTACTTTTATCCTTTGACTTTATAAAGAACTTTTATGACCAGGATAATTTTTTATTGAGCACATATCCTGTATCAACTGTTACTGCTTATCCATCCATTCAACGTCACCAAGTTTGCTTGTATTATCCTTGTTTTACAGCTAAGAAACGAGAGGCTTTGCACATTATGTAACTTGCCTTTGGTCACACTGCTAGTTTTTAGCAGAACCAGGATTTTCTTTTTAAAGATTTTATTTATTCATTTGAGACACACAGAGAGAGCATGAGCAGGGAGAGAGGGAGAGGGAGAAGTAGGCTTCCTGCTGAGCCCAGGAGCCCGATGCGTGGCTCGATCCCAGGACTCTGGGATCACGACCTGAGCCGAAGGCAGACGCCTAACCATCTGAGCCACCCAGGTGCCCCAGAACCAGGATTTTCTAATTCCATTTCCGGGAGATACTTGCAATAGCTCTTACAGACTAGAAGTGAGGAGTATGAAGAGAGGGCCTCGATGGTGTAGAGGCTTGCCTGTTGATTTATGGTAACTAGTAAGTAGCTCCCGGCACTTCTTTGCTGCTGCAGTCCTGAAAGCTAGCTACTGACCTCACGTGTCATCTTCTGTAGGAATTGTTGACTCAAAAAGAGAAACCTAATGTCTTCGTTATACATAATGTAGAATGATTTCAAATTCCATTCATTTGTAGCCACTGACAATCTCCATGCAGTTCAGCTCATGGGAACAAATGAAGCTGGGTATTAGAGCTAATTGAGTAGGTGCCAGACACTGGATTATTACACATCATCTTCCCAACAGTTGTAGAGGGTAAGACTAGGAATTCTGGTTGTCTCTTACCCAGGGTTACTTTTATTGTATGTGTGACTTAGACAAGTTACTTCTCACTTTCCCTCATCTGAAAAAAGGGGATAATGGTGTCACCGATATTGTGGAGTTAGTGTAAGGATAAAATGAGATCACATATAAAGTGCTCTTTGCTGCACGGGGCCTGGCACACACAGTGGACGTTTCAGAGCACCAGGACTTGAGCTCAGGCCTGAATCACTGCCGAGTCTCCAGTCTCCGCATTGTACTGTGCGGCTTCGGGGAGAGGGCTGTCTCCACTCTGTTCCTTGCTGCGAGCTGCCTTTTTTCCACTCCTTCTCCCTGTTAATTATGTTTTATTCTCTACAAAGTAGTTTCTGACAACCAGCTTTAGCTAAATGTCATAGACCTACTATGAGAAACTGACTGTGTTTTAGAAGTTCAGTCCATTCCAAATATTTACATCTGGTTAGTACAGTTTTATGATGTTATTGTAGTTCTCTTTTTCCAAATTAGCGCAGACAGATCCCTTTGAAGATGTGATTTATTTAAGCAAGTGGATGCCCCACCCAGGTTTGCCATGTGACTATGAAGCTAGAAAGGTGGACAAGATCTGGGAGACACTACGAATTGTCCTTGGGTTAAAAGTGCATTTTTAGACGTTGCCTACTCAGCATGTAGAGGATAGCCCAACAGGCACTGGCGTCACTTGAGCCACTGTTAGAGATACAGCATCTCACACTCTGCCTCACACCTGCTCAGCTAGCATCTGCATTTACTAAGATCCCCCCAGTGATTCCTAAATGTATTCAAGCCTGGGACAAACTTGGCTCTTCTTCTACACTTGGCTTTAGAACTGTTTGGGATGAAATATAGAATTAAATTGCATACTGTTTGCCTTTTAACTTACCCTCATGTTTTCACTGTGACTTTTTGTAGCAATTTTAAGTGAAAGGCATAGAAAACAATAGTGGTCATTTATTCAGGAGATACAGAGCATCTCCTTATCTGCTTCTCTCCCAAACCAAGTGATAAAGAAATAATTAAGTGCAGTGCCCTTTTGGTCCACAGATTCTACACCATGTTACCAAATTCATCAAAAATCCTGTGAAACTTGGGGGGATTGTGAAATGACAGAAAGGGAGGTAGTTGAATGGTGCAGAAGATGTGGGTGGGGTAGGAGAATAAGGTAAAGAACACAGGTGTACTGTTTGCATATGTTTGATAGCAGCAACTTGAACCTTTTGAGAGAAATTCAAATTGTTTATTTTGGGTAACAATTTTTAAACCTGAAACAGAAGATATGATTACCACTTTAATCGTGGATCTCTTTTCTTTAGGGAATACCAAATTCTGTGGTGGTGGTGGTCTGAGTGCCAAATTCTTTATATATAAGCTTTCACCTTTCACAACCTGAAAAAACTGTTTTAAAGAATAAAATCCAGGGAAAATGTTCTTTACTTACTAAGCAATTTATCCAAGATCTGGATTACTGGGATTGAGATTGGGGTTCTAATTCTCATAATTTCCATTAGTTGTTTTTGTTTTGCTTTGTTTAGTTTTTTTTTTTTAAACGAGTCCTTATGCTACTGAGTGTATGGACTTTAAAAAAAAATTGAAAATGGTATATTTCTTTTTAAAATTTTGTTTATCCAAGGTGTTTTGTACGTTGAAAACAGTATTGCTTTTATTGTAACTGACTTGACTGATTATCTGCTTACTTATTGTGAACTGGGAAAATTAAATACTTAGAGGGATTCTAAATGGAACACTAACCACATTATTTTTCTTCTTAGATCAAAGGGATTATATCTGTGAATATTGTGCTAGGGCCTTCAAGAGTTCTCACAATCTGGCAGTGCACCGGATGATTCACACTGGCGAGAAGCCATTACAGTGAGTGTTATTTACTGGTGGATATGTGGGGAAGCGCATATCTCCCCTACTTGCTGGTTAGTCCCTGTGCAGACTTTTCAGTCACCACTGCTATTGACTTTTACCAAATTAGAGTCAGTATTGATTTGGGGATGCTACTGAGTGAACTTTTTTTTATTCCCTCAGTTTTTTAAACAAACGAAACAGATGAATTTTCCATCTGGTTAGCTTTTCCTAATTTTTCCCAAGAAGTGTGTTACTGACTATTGCCTATATATGTGACCTCTAAATTCTTGCCCTGACCCTGAAGAAGAGCCCTCTTCATTTCTCTGTTTGATCAGCCATTTCCTCTTCCACTCTTCCTAGATGCGAGATCTGTGGATTTACGTGTCGGCAGAAGGCATCCCTTAATTGGCACATGAAGAAGCATGATGCAGATTCCTTCTACCAGTTCTCTTGCAATATCTGTGGCAAAAAATTTGAGAAGAAGGACAGCGTAGTGGCACACAAAGCAAAAAGCCACCCTGAGGTGCTGATTGCCGAAGCTCTGGCTGCCAATGCAGGCGCCCTCATCACCAGCACAGATATCTTGGGCACTAACCCAGAGTCCCTGACACAACCTGCAGATGGGCAGGGTCTTCCTCTTCTTCCTGAGCCATTGGGAAACTCCACCTCTGGAGAGTGCCTCCTGCTAGAAGCTGAAGGGATGTCAAAGTCATACTGTAGTGGGACAGAACGGGTGAGCCTGATGGCTGATGGGAAGATCTTTGTGGGAAGTGGCAGCAGTGGGGGCACTGAAGGGCTGGTCATGAACTCGGATATACTCGGTGCTACCACAGAGGTTCTGATTGAAGATTCAGACTCTACTGGACCTTAGTGGAAGGGAAGACTTTGGGCACTGGGACAGCTCAGACTTTGTATTTAAAAGATAAAAAGGACAAAAAAAATTTAAAGCATTTAAAATCTAGTAAAATAACTGAAGGGCCTGCTCTTTCCATTGTGGATCACAGCACACACACCTACACCCACCCTCTTCTCCCTCTATTGTCCCCTTTATAAAATTGATGTTGCCTTTACCAAAAAGGTAGGCAAAAAAGAAGCTCTTAAAGTGGGAGTTATCCTCCTACTCAGTTCCAGCCAGGCAGACTTCCTGCTCACTGGCAGATCCCTTCTTAAACCTGTAACTTTGATGTGCTCTGGATCAGCTTTTAACTCTTGATAGTATATTACTGTCCTCTAAACCCCTTCTCCTTCACTGCTGCCCTATGGTTCTGGCTTCTACCCACTGCAGCACACTTATCCCCAAAGTATCATACAGTTCTAATCTCTGGAGGCTGGCAGCTTGACTTGGCACTTTAGGCCCCTTAGCAGGGTGAGCTGTTAAAACAGCACACCTCTCTCACTCAAGCCCATTTCCTCCATTCCCCGCTGGGTTTTGGAAAGGAAGGATTCACGGGGACCACCTCCCTCCTCTGTGACCCCAGCACTTCAGTCCCCTTCCAACACCTCCATCTGGTTCTCAGTGGTGCTCACTAGCTTGGAAGCAGGCTCCCAATTGGGGGGAGGGGGGGCTGCCCTCTTCATGGTTTCTCTGATCATAAGGCAGGGCTCTGTATCAGTGAGAAAAGTCCCAGACTAATGGCAGAAATTTGCACTTTGAACATGTGTGTTTTTGTGTTGTGGAACCTGAGATTCCTTATTTATTAACAGAAAGTCTGATTTTTTTTGGGGGGGGGGTCTTCGTTGCTATATTTTGTGGGGCTGGGAGAGATTAGGTTATTCTGACATGGGGTCCTTTCCATAAGAGGTACTTTTGAAGGCAAGATATAGGGTTGAAGAAGCACAGCCAGCCTCTAAAATCATAGCTCTCCAGTGGCCTTTAAAGAAAGCTGGTCCTCAGCACTAACAAAATCACTACAGTAGCCTAGTGCTTTTTCGGAAGCCTTTTTAGGGAAGGATGTTAGGTTTTTGGTAACTAGTGCTCTTTCAGTTTTTAGAGCATTGCGATTTAGGAATTTTGAGGGGATGAGAGAAGGGTTGTTCAGGGTCTGAATTACAGATAAAAGATTTTCTCTTGTGAATTTACTTTCTTTTTTTATCCCCATCAATTCTTTCTGTACACCTTCCTATTGGCCCAATTCTGGCCCCTTGCTTTGTTTTTGGTTTTGCTTTGCTTTATCATTGTTTCATTCCAGCTCCCAATTAGTGAAGGACACTACCATTAGTGAAGAGATAGTCTATGACTCGTTCGGAGTCAAAGAAAATTACTCTGTTTTGTTTCCCTTTTATAAAAATAACACCTCAGAAAAGGAAAGGCTTCCATAGACAAAGTTAATAATCTGTATAATAATGGCTTTGGCTTTCACCTAAAATTCTGGGAATTACTGCTTCCATTGAGATAGGGATTTTCTTGGGCTGGATTGCTTATTACTGGCCATGGGAGAGGCAGGTGGTGTTTTTGTACATTTATAGCTCCCAGAAGACTAAAAACCTATTTTGGCTCATTTTTAGAGAATTAGAAGTGCAGTTTCTCTCCTTCTGTGTACCTCACAAGCTGGAATTAAAGGCTCGCCCTATTCATTGTTTGTCAGAAATGTGTGATGGCTGCTGGAAAGAATGAAGTTTTGCTGAGAGCAAAATAAGGAACAGCTTGTTTTTCACAAACACTAAAACTACAAAGTTTATCAATTTTCTCTTTATTTTTTTCCCAAAAAAGAGGGGTAACAAATGTCATCTCTGAAAGAGGCTTACTTTACACCCACTAATGTCAGTGGTTGGGATGCCAGGGAATAGGGAGTCAGACACCTACAGTGAATAGACTTAAATGCACTATTGTTTCTTTTCAGAGTGTTGCAGATTTGCCCTCCCTCCACTGTGGGGGTAGAAAATGGAATAAGGATAGAAGGGATGTAGAATATGCTTTCCTGCCCACAGTAAGGATTTGGAATTGACTTGGTATGTTGAGTACATTTGAAAATACTGTCAGGTTGATTGGGTGGGTTTACAACAAAGTTGTTCCACTCCCATTATAAGTCCATTTTGTACTTTTTTACTAGCTCGCATCTGTACCCCACACTATTACCTTTTGTCTTTGTCACATTTATCTTCTCCTTTGTCTCTGTAAGTTGTTTTTGCAGTGGTTAGTCATCAGATATTTTAACCACCTACACAAAAGCAAACTGCATAAAAAAAACTTGATGAGATTGAGGGAAAATACGTTCTTCCCTATATCACACTCCTCCCCACCAAAGCAACAAGTTAGTTCTAATAATTAGAAACTTTCTATTCTTCCTCCTTTTGTTTTTTGACCTCTTTATAGGTACCACTTGCCTACCGTTTGCTTCAATAAATTATTATAGCAGTTTGCAGTCAATCTTAAAATATTCTCCATGGCCTTTATCTTTTTTCCTTTTGATAAAGGGATGCTAGCACAATAAGAGTGGTGTAAGTAAGCTGCCTTATACTAGGCCCTCTTCCCTTTCCTGTTTGCTTCTCATGCTGTTTACTTCTTTGTCCTTCCAAGGAGCCCTTTTAGTCTTAAAATTCTGCATTTTGTACTCTTAATCAAATTGGGTTACCTTTTTAATAACTTCCCATTGCACATTCTCCAATTTGAATTGGCAGTTCAAAATTCTGAAAGTATAGTTGAGATACAAGTATTATTTCTGGGAGATGCGCTTTCCCCTAGTCTCTGGTTGCCCAGGGTTATTCTGCATAATTGAGACTTACTGTGCTCCAGAGAGTTTGGATAAACACTGGCCAGGATTACTGGAAGTTAAAAAAGAATTCAGGTATGGAAAAGCATCTACATAGAGCACTTGAACCTCCTTTGTACCTGTTGGAAAAAATATAAAGAGTGTACTAAACCCAGCTAAGGTTATTACAGTCTGGTTGTTTGAAGTACCATTTTTCCCTCCTTCTTTTTCCCACTTTCCAGTGTACTCAAGAAAATTGAAAAATTGTAATGGATCAATTTAAAATATTTTTATTTCCTAAAAGCCTTTTTTGCCTGTTGTAATGTGCAGGACCCTTCTCCTTTGATGGGAGAGACAGGTAGTTACCTGAATCTAGGTTGAAAAGGTTATGTAAAAAGAAATTATAATAAAAGGGATACTCTGCTTTTCAAATCCTTGTTTTCTCTTAATCTAGGTAAGGCATATCCAAAATAAATATGTAAAGAAAAATAAAAGTTGTCTTCATGGAAGCAACTTGTCTTCCTTGATTGTACTGAGTTACAGTTATCCTAAGGGTTAAAACAATTGATTGCTGCTGAGAATCCAGTGCCCCCAGGACAGGGTTTATGTGGCAGGTGCTATTGCTTCTCTCCGGCAGAGTCAGTTTACTTCTGACTCTTTCGTTCTTGATCTCTAATGCTGAGTTGCCATAGGATTCTTTGATCATCTGGCCAACTTGGAAACCCCTCCAGTGTTTTGACAGAGTTCTAGAAAAGATGGCCTTATTAATCTAGTAGGGAGAACGTTAAGGGTGCTATGAGGTTTATGTTAGTCTGATAATGACAAAACCTTGATAGCATTTAATATCAGTGCTTTTTCACAAAACTCAGTGTCCACAGTGAGTACTAACTTAAAAAAAAGATAAAAATAGAATCCTCCTACCTTCTTAAAAGGCCTACTGTGAGTGCCAGTCTCAGTTTTCCTCCCCTCCACCCCTTGTTTATTGTTTCCCTGTGGAAGTTTGCACCTGAAAAGGCATGTGTTTCTATTTAGAGACGATGTCTATGGTATGAAATAGTGAAAGCTAATTGATTTGGGGATGACATTTGCTGCTCTTGCTCAGGGAGCATTATCTAACCTACAGAGTTACGATAGATGCAGCAGAAGAGAACTCTGCATGTGCTTTTAAACTCTTTTGTCCTCATTTCAAAGCCCAGCTCATTCTCATATTTTGTTAAGAAGCAGTGTGGTATGACTGGGATAAGGAAGAAGAAGGAAAGTATGTTGTCACTTGAGACTGCCTTAGAAATGTTTCCCAGTCAGCGTTGGGTGTTTCCTGTCCTTTGGAAGAGAACAGGCCCAAACAGTACCTTCCTCATCCTGTAGCTGCAAGGAAGGCACCATGATCGAGGTTAGAGGTGACTGACTTTGCTGATTTTTAGTTGAGTGTAAATGAAACTAACTTTAAATACATAATGAAAAGATGCTATATTTTTAAAGGACCTATTTTGCATAAATTTTGTTTCTTGAACAAAATGTGAAAAACCTACAGAATGAAATTGCAAAGTCAATGGGAGAATCAGAGACCTAATTTAAGTTTTTTGCCTGCTTGCTGGGTTTTGTGCACATTATTTAGTTTCTTTAAGCCTCAGTTTCTTAATGTAAAATGAGGAAAATAATACTTATCTCATAGAACTATTCTAAAGATAAATAAAGGCTTTAAAGCCTTTCACACAGTGTCTGGCCCAGAGTAGCTGCTTAATCAATGGCAGCTGTTAATAACTTAATATTATTGAATACTTTACCAGGCCAAAAAAGGAAAGAGAGAGAGAGAGAAAGAAGAGGACATGGGGAGTGCAAGGGAGGGTGATAACAAAATGAACTGATTATGTGTATATAAAGTAGATCACATTAGGCAGGGATGTCATGAGGATTAGTGTGATAGTGACCTTGTTGCTAAGTGCAAAAGCAAAACAATGACATAAAAACAAGTAGGCTCAGCACTGAGTGGAGGAGAGAGATGGAGGCAGACACCGCAGGAAAAAAAGCTGATTAAAAAGGGGCCTTTGATTCCACAGGCACAAAAATCCACAGCCAGGAATTTGCTGCCACCTCTGAGTCAGGCAGGGGGGTGGGGGTGGGGTGCACAATCCCATTAGTACAGAATGCCCAGTGGATTTAGTCTGAGAGTCACATTTCTTATTTGGACCAGTGTAGACAGTAGCAAACCCAGCTCACTTGTTTCCTGGGACAGTTGAGTTAGGGGATGGCTTTTGCAGAGCACTCACCGCTGACCCCTCACCGCCGGGACCTCTGTAGCCGCTCTATCTGGCTAGCAAGGAAGATTCGTTCAGACCTGACTGCTCTTTTGGAATCTTATGTAAGTTGCCTGATTTGCTGTTGTCTGTTTTCACTTCATCTCTTCTGATGCAGCCCCTTACTATCATGTTCCAGCCCCCAATACCAATCATTGAAGGCCCTAATCATATAGTCATTCATAGATTGGGCACCTATTATTTGACATGGTTCCTTCCCTTAAGGAAACTCCTATGACCTTATTTTCTTCTCTAGGCTGTTTAGGAGACATGATCTATGAATAAGAAAAATAGACATAGGCTTCTGAGTGGGATTGGCTGCATGTCATGGAGGCTATTCCTAATTTGATGGCCTACAGCCTGAATTCTACCAGAATAGATTAACCATGTGCCCTCTAAGTGTGGGTTCTTCATTCACATTGTTCTGAATTTTTGAGCAGCATAAACCCAAAGAATTTCTTCTGTACAGTATTAGCCACCCACTTTTTCATTACATATATCAAGTTTCTGTGTGTCTAAATAGAATGGTCACCTACACTATCAAAAGGATTCCCTAGAAGATTCACTGGGGACTTGGGGAAGTGTCAAAGGAACTAACCATGGAGTTCCAGATTGGTTTTCTGATAGAGGGAGATCACCATCAGTTTCCACCTAAGGCTCACTATTACAGAAACACTGAAGGAGAGTTGTAAATTTAAGTTCTCTGAGAATTGGTTTATCTTTGTACAACCTCACCAGTTAAAAATCAGACTCTTTAGTGCCTTTTTTTATTTTTTAATTTTTATTTAACTAATTCCCACTGAATTCTCTAAAGGATTGTCCTCACCGTTGAGAGTGGATAATGAAGGAGAGGGGGTTAGAAAAATTCTGCAATGGGTTAATTCTAGGGCTTCCTAAGGTCTGGTCAGTGTCTTCAAGTATGTTTAAAATACTTAAAACTCCAGTATGATTCAGGTACTCCAGTTTCCAGGAGGGAGTTCGAAGTGGGAAGGAAAAATTGTAGACTAGTGTTTTTCAACGTTTAGAATCTAATGAAAGCTGCAGATTCTCCCACAAAAAGTGAATAGGTAGTCAAAGCAGTATGTATCATTTCAGAGTGAATAAGGTCTTCCTAAAGTCCAGTCATTGGATCCCAAATGATCCAAAAATTTTGGAAAATTTTTATTTTCTTTACAATTTGGATCCTTGACAAGGAAGGTGAATTAAGACTTCACATGAGATTTAGGGATTAAATGAGAATTTTGGGATAATTACAGAAGATGTGATGTTTTTATGTATCCTTGGCCAGATGAAGCATCAGGGCCTGAACGAGAACATAAACCTGGACTCTGTGGATGGTGTGCCAATGGCAAGCACTGATTGGTGGAGTGAGCTGACTGAGGCAGAGCGACTCCAAGAGAACCTCCAAGCTTATCGTGCCTTCCATGTTATGTTGGCCAGGCTTTTAGAAGACCAGCAGGTGCATTTAACTCCAGCTGAAGGGGATTTCCATCAAGCAATACATACCGTTCTACTCCAAGTTGCTGCCTTTGCTTACCAGCTGGAGGAATTAATGATGCTTCTGGAACACAAGATCCCCTCCAGTGAGGCTGATGGGATGCCCATCATTGGTGGAGATGGTGGTCTCTTTGAGAAGAAGCTGTGGGGCCTAAAGGTGTTGCGAGAGCTTTCACAGTGGACAGTGAGGTCCATCCATGACCTTCGAGTCATTTCTCATCAGACTGGGATTCCAACACATGGGAGCCATTATATTGCTAATGACAAGAAAATATAGCAGTTATCCCTCCTCTCTCTTCCTCCTTCCTTTTCTGATGGAATATACACAGCCCTGAGGCCTCACTTTCCCATTCTTAAGTTTTGAAAGGTTGAAAGTTTTCTAACCTTTGAGACCATAGGCATTTTCATCAAGTAGGGTTGGAGACATGGACAACTGGGCATACAGGTTTTGTGTGTGTGTGTGTGTGTGTTGGGGCCATAAGGGAATGCGGGCCAGGGCAGCATCCTTCCATCTTAGTGCTCTAACCTTTTCTACCCACTAAGTTAAGTTTACAAGGATTTAATAGTCTGACAGAATAAATATACGTTTAACTTTAGTCCTAGATGACTTTTCTGGGAAGATTGAAACTTAATTAAAAATCCTGGACTCCAGCCAATTCAAACTCTTGGATAATAAAAATACTAACATTTATTGAGTATCTACTATATTGTAGCGGTATGCCAGGGGCTCTGTGTATATTATAATCTTCACAACAACCCTGTTGAGGGAGGTAGTGTTATTCCCATCTGGCAGATGAGAAAACAGAAATTATAACTTGGTAAAGGTTACCCAACTAGCAAATGGCACACTTAAGTTTGAACCCAGATATTTCTCATCCCAAAGCCTGTGTGTCCTTCACTTCAGAGGCCTGATGATGACCCTTTATCACTGCACCTCTTTGCCACAGCGGGTTGGAAAATACATTCAAGTATTCTATCCCCGACCCTGGAAAACAGTCCCCATTATATGTCCTGATAGGTCAGTAACATAATTGTAGTGTTAAAGGCGGTATTTGTTGCCCACGCTTGGCAAAGACGAGAGCAGTGGAGATGTTAAGATTCTGTTTGGGGAAAAGAGTAGGCCCACCAGACTTCTGAAATTAGGAAACTGAGGATGTGCAGTAACACAGCCTGCTTTATCAAGTGTCCACAAATGTTCTGCGTTGGGCACAGCTCACAGCAGCCTACCTCGCGTCTACTGTGAGCAGCAGTGTAGCGATACAGGCAGTGTAAGCAAGCGTTCATGGACAGTGGTTGGAATAGCACTCAGGTTAAAATGTCACAAAGTCCTTTACCACACATTCTCTGGACTTAGTCATGAGGGGAGGGTGAGGCCCACTCTGTTCCCCGTGGGAATGCCAGCGATTCTGAAACAATATACAGCACAGCCTCCATGCTTCACAACAGAGGGGCAGGGCGCTGTGTTTAATGTTCTTGAGAGAAACAGTGTGAAAGACACAACCGGTAAATGTGGGCACTGATGGAAAGGTCATTTGTGGTCGGGCCTGTGAAACTAGTGGTGCGATGTAAATTCAGAAGTTCTCAGGTATAACGTTACTTCACACTACCAATTAAACCCACCATCTTGGATGTGGGACCCAA